CGGGGGAGTGGGGGGTTGCTTCTCTTTGTGCTTGGGGGGGGGGGGGGTTAACAGTGGGAGGGCTTCTAATGTCCTGGCCCCACTGGTGGACCTCCTGATGGCACTGGTATTTCTGGCCACTGTGGGATACAGAGTGTTGGACTGGATGGGCCTTTGGCCTGATCCAACATTGGCGTTTCTTATGTTCTTATGTTATAAGAGTGCTGGTGTCTTCCTGCTGCAGCAGAATGGCCCATTGGGATTGGCACCCACCCCCCCAGCCCCTGGAGCTGCAAGCCCCGAAGAAGCTCACTGGGTGAGCAGCAGCAGCCCAGCACACCGCAGGACTCCCCCCTCCCCCGACTGGACTGCTGTGACCCAGCGAAGGGGCCACACGGGAGCGCCCAGTGGCCAGGGAGGGAGGGGGGCCTGGCTGGCAGCTCCAGCAGCACCAAGGGGGCTCTCCTGCCGGTGGGGGTCTCTCGCTGGGCTCTGGCTTGACAGCAGCCCCACTGCACCCACCCTGAGAGAGGCACCCAGGCTTGGAGGAAGCCCCAAATGCCATCCCTCCACAACAAAACTTCTTTGCCCATCCGCCTGGCGGGCGAAACCAGACCCTCCCCCTCCTGGGCACAGCCTCCCCTGCAAATGGGTCCAGAGGAACGACCCCTCTCGGTGCACAGCAGCAGCAGCAGCCCCACTGGAGAGGAAGCTGCGATGCCAGAGGCCAGAAGGAAAAACACAGAGCAAGCTGCTCTCAGATTGCAGGAAAGCTTTAGCTGGCACTGGTTGCCCCGGGGGAAGATAAGAACATAAGAGAACATAAGAGACGCCAATGTTGGATCAGGCCAAAGGCCCATCCAGTCCAACACTCTGTATCACACAGTGGCCAGAAATACCAGGTGCCCTCAGGAGGTCCACCAGTGGGGCCAGGACACTAGAAGCCCTCCCACTGTTGCCCCCCCCCCAAGCACCAAGAAGACAGAGCATCACTTGCCCCGGAGTCCCTATCTATACCTTGTGGCTAATCCCCCCCGTATTCTACAACTGTGTTCTAACTAGTGACTGGTCAAGGTGGGTGGCCGTGTTAGTCTGTCTGCAGCAGCAGAAAAGATCAAGAGTCTGAGAGCATCTTAAAGACTAACAAAGTTTGCGGCAGGGGAGGAGCTTCCGTGAGTCCCTGCTCACTTCTTCAGATAGTGATTGGTGTGTGTGTAAAGAAAGGAATCCTGGCTCCATTTCAGAAGTAACGAGCTTTTAAAAATCCAAGGCCAAAGTTTAGCTCAGTCTAGACGGCCTCGCTTGCCTCTGCCCTTCCCCCAAAACATCTCTTCAAGCATCAGTTCCTAGTAGAGACCCAGGAGCCCTGGGAAAATTCAGTTCCCATCGGTCTTTGCATCGGGAGCTTTCTGATAGGAGGAAGATGGAGATACATCCCATTCTTTTAACTTCTGCTGGAAAAGTTCTAGGACAAGGACATGGAGCTTGAAAGGTGGAGGTGGAGGGAAGCCAGCTGCAGGGAAGGCTAGGGTTAGGGGAGTTGGGTTGTAAGCAAATTTCTCGGAAAAATCCAGGGATTTCACTGAAAACCATTGAAAATTACAGGAAAAACCCAGCCCATTCCAAAGACCCTCACAGTACCTAAGGTTGCAAACCTCCAGCTGGGGCCTAGAGAACTCCCAGAATTTTCAATGGTTTTCAGTGAAATCCCTGGATTTTTCCGAGAAAATTTGCAAAAAAGTTCCGAAAAAGTGAGCCCCTCCGTTCCAACTGAGATGAGTTCTCCCACCAGGGCTCTTTTTGTAGCAGGAACTCCTTTGCATATTAGGCCACACACCCCTAATGTAGCCAATCCTCCACGAGCTTACAGAGCTCTTCTTACAGGGGCTACTGTAAGCTCTTGGAGGATTGGCTACATTAGGGGTGTGTCACTTAATATACAAATGAGTTCCTGCTACAAAAAGAGCCCTGCGCGGCATCTCTAATAATGAGCCAGCAGAGGGCGGCCACTTCACACATGGATATATCAAGCTCCCATCAGCTCCACTTAACCCAGATGTTCAACATGCTACTTGGGTTGTGTGAACTGGCCTTGTGTAACTCTCTGCTGAAAACAGACATTAAAATGTCAGAAGCCATACAGAAGTTATTTCTGAGATTTGGAAGACAGTGTTCTAGATAACTTGAAGCCAGTGTAGGAACCGTTGAAGTATATATTAACCAGTTGGAATGGCTGACTTCCTGAAACACTTCAGATACTGTGCACGTGACCTCAATAACTATCGAGATGGATCCAACCTCCCCTCTCAGTAGCCTTTCTCAAACTCCAGTGGATCTTCCTCCAATGGAAGAGCTGCTTGATCTGGAGGAACTCAGAATAGAGAGCTGAGCTGAAAGGAAAGGTGTGGGGTATATATATATTAATACATGAATAAATAAACTTTGCTCAGTGGAGTAGCAGCATAGGAGTAAGACGCACTCCACCTTGTTTAAAACGCATAGCTGGGTATGACACGAAATGAGATCATCATTCTGTTTTCTGGAAAAGGGAACCCATTTTTTATATGGAGTCCTGTTGTACTCCTATAAGCTCTCTATTGCTGCGGTCAGACATGCCATTTGACGCGGTCGGGAAGCACTCCTATTCCATCCATTAGTATTTGGCACAGAGTTGCTCGATCACACATCCCAGTATAATTTGTTTTGCTGTAGGCACAGCCTGTCACTGTGCGATCAGATGGCATGTTCAGGCATGTGGGGGAGGTTGCCTTTTTGTGCATATGCTCATAAACGAGGAATCGAGCCCCCACGCAAAGAGTTCTCTGTGAAGTTCTCCATAGAGTTCTCCATGGACCGATTATGCGGTTATATGCATATCGCTAAGTGGGGGGAAATGGCTCCGAGTCCTGAGAGTGCGTTTGAGTGATCAGACTAGGGAAAATCCATACATGGCCCATCGGCAAGTGTTAGGACCGGACTTTCCCCGGTGTCTTTTAACTCCGATTCCGTGGCACGGCAGCACGGGTTGCCGACAACTGCGGGACCTTTCCCAGATGTTGCTATCTGATCATGCACTTTAGATCTGTCAGGCATTCGCCGCTAAGTCGGACCTAAAGGCACATCTGACTGCAGCCTATTTCTATTTTCCATTAGCTCCCAGTTATTCTGCAGTCTGCCTCTGCTCTTCCCAACTCCTTCTCCGCAAGGCCAAGTTCATCCATAACTGGGAGTGGGTGGACTCCAACCGAGGTCTTCAAAGAACGTAAAGTTATACACATGAACCAGACGTACATGAACTGCTTAATTGTCACAATTTATTCAGTTCATGCAACTGAGATTTCGTTGGCACAGAATTTGTGTTCTCTTCATGCAAAATCTGAATTTTTGCTACAGACAACCCTAGCATAAGGCACAGCTGGACTGAAATGCAGCTTTGAACACCAGAAAACCAGCACCTAAATCAAAGCGTTCTGATCCCCCCCCCCGCTTTTTAAGAAAAGACACAAGATGAACAAGCAATGAATCCATGAAGATAGTTGTGCTGGAAAGCAACTTTTAAACCGTCAAGAAGCCGTAGAGATGCAAACTTCCTTCTGAAGAACTCTGTACACATGTGAAGTCGAACTATAAAACGCTCCCTGGATCTTCAACAACTAGAAATGCAAGAAAAAGAAAAGGGAAATAGCAGGTCATCATTCTTATCTTCAGGGCTATTTTTGGGCAGGAACGCACAGGAACGGAGTTCTGGCTGGCTCCCGAGTTGGCCACGCCCAGCAGGAACTCATTAGCATAACAGGCCACACCCAACAACAGAAACTCATTAGGACTGGCTACATTAGAGGTGTGTGGCCTAACATGCAAAGGAGGTCCTGCTACAAAAAAGCCCTGGGTTTGGACAACAAACAAGGTAAACAGAATAACAAGCAAAAGTTGGGTGTGTCTGGATGACCACACTTCTGCAAACATGGGGTGTGTGGCCTAATATGCTAATGAGCTGTGCTGTCAGAGGTCTAATGAATTTCTGCTGTTGGGTGTGGCCTATTATGCTAATGAGTTCCAGCTGGGCTTTTTCTACAAAAAAAGCCCTGCTTATCTTCACAAGCCAGGAGAGCGTGCTGCCTGTTCTAGGCCTAAAAGAAATCAAACCAAGGATCGCCGGTCAGCTGATCCTCAGAACTTCACCCCAGCTCTTTAAGAAGCAACCTGCACAGGGAAGCTGCCCTCCACATTAGCTGTACACGGCCATGTGGGTCTTTCTGGACGTGCATTGGCAGCATCTTCCCTACCATGCTCCCAAAGAGATCTTTTGATGCCGATGGGAATGTGCACCCCTTTCCAGATCCACTGGCTGTTCCATAGGACAAGAGCTGGACTACAGCCTCCACTCCATAAACAGTTTGTCTAGAATGGATATCAAATATTTTCCAAACTTACCCCAGCGCACCATGTGGACGCAAACTTTACTTAATTTCAAGTGGGCTTAGAGTGGACTAAATCCGTACAGGACTGCAACATCAGGCACACAGAGGAACAAAGCCTGACTCCAGTGGTACCTTTAAGACCAACTGAAGAAGGGTGCCTGCACACGAAAGCTTATACCATGAATAAAACTTGGTTGGTCTTCAAGGTGCCGCCGGACTCGAACTCTGTTCTGCTGCTTCGGACCAACGTGACTCCCCCACCTGAACCTGGGCACATAGATGGTAAGCCCCAGAATTGGTTCTGAATGGCAGGCTTCAGCCACAGTAGATGAGCAGCAGCAGGGCTTTTTTTGTAGAAAAAGTCCAGCAGGAACTCATTCGCATAATAGGCCACACCCAGCAGTAAAAACTCATTGGCATATTAGGCCACACCCCTGACTGCACCGCTTATTAGCATATTAGGCCGCATTCCCATGTTACCAGAAGTGTAGTGTGGTTATCCAGCCACACCCACCTTTTGCTTGTTATTCTGTTTACCTTGTTTGTTGTCAAAACCCAGGGCTTTTCTTGTTGCAGGAACTCCTTTGCATGTTAGGCCACACACCCCTAATGTAGCCAATCCTAATGAGTTTCTGCTGTTGGGTGTGGCCTATTATGCTAATGAGTTCCTGCTGGGTGTGGCCAACTTGGGAACCAGCCAGAACTCCGTTCCTGTGCGTTCCTGCCCAAAAATAGCCCTGAGTAGCAGTAATAAAGACACACATGCCTATAAGCATGCGCAAAGTGCTTTTTTCTTAGCACACACTCACATACACACAGTTGAGAAGGGGAAGCAGGATTCAGGGCAGGAGATTATTGAGGAGAGTTGGGGCTGAGTTTCTCACTTTTTCACTTGGGGTGTTGGAAATATACAGAAAAGAAGTATTTAGAACCACAGCAGAATGAGGCAGGGGAGGAAGTTCCATAAATATCTAGTGTGGGGAAAGTGGGTAAAAGAAATACAGGCCCCGGCCACACGGAGGATTTGCCGCGCTAAAGGCACGAGTGTCAGGCGGATTTTTGGGGCGTGATCACACTGCAACATCTGGGAAGCGTAGCGCACCCATGGCCAACCCATGGTGTCCCGCCGAAGATGCGCAGTAAAAAAGTACCTTGGAAAGTGCACTAGTATCCAGAAAACGCGGGACAGGGGCGGGTGTCTGATCGCGGGAGCGCTAGTATCCCGTGGCATACAGCGCCCGTCCACGTCCCATCGCAAACTGGATGTTTTTCGTAAGCACGTGCGCACAAACGCGTAACTGAAAGCAGTGCTGCTCCGCGGAACTGCGCATGCGCACAAACGCGAACCGCTTGCCACGCTCCAGCATCGCCGTGTGATCGCCAGCTAACAGCCTAAGCGCAAAGACTCGGGGGGGGGTGATCGGGCTACCACACTTTATTTTGCTTTTTTACAGCCACGCCCCCCCCCCGTGTTATATGGCCCGTGTGACCGGGGCCACAGACTCTCTCACAGAAAACTACTAGTCCCATTCTGCAACCAATCTGATGTTCTAGGCTGGGGCAGTTTTAGTGATCCCGGAACCCTGGGCAAAAGTCAAGGACAGGGGTGCGGAACCACTGGTAAGGTAGCAATCTGGCCATTTCTCCCCTTCCCCACCCCCACTACCACTGTACTGCTGATTTCCAGCTGCTGCCTGAATGACGCCTCCAGAAGCGATGACAGTGATGGATGGACAGGCTGTACAGCTGTTGGAGCCTGGGCCCCTGAGGACGGGAGCCCTGTGTGGCCCCCCCGCTTGCCCTGTAGCTGAGACTGCCGATGATTCTAGGCCTTCCTTGACAACCTCAGCACTGTGTTTTCCAGTAAGAGCAGGGCACTCTACCTTCGAAGGTCGCAAAGACGATCAGAGAGTCGTCTTTGAGGAAACTCCTCCGCAGCAGTTCTCTGCGGTGCAGGACGCTGTTCCAGCCGTAAAAGGGGCCGACGTGGCGATCATATAAAGGGTCTAAAGATCCTGTAATGGAGGGTTTATTCCAAAGAAGTTGCCCATCTGCGATACAAAAAGGAAAAAGAAAGAAGTTGAAGTAGATTAATGCAAGAATTGAGTCCTTTGGCGGTTAAAAAACAGTGTTTGCACGGGGATTTAAGGTTTAAATGATGCTGCACAGATTTTGGATGGGATGCAATATCAGTCCATATCTGCACACACAGACATGAACTCATGAAGGCAGTTGGGTGTAGTGGTTTAAGTGTGAGGACTCTCATTTGGGAGAACTCTTGGTCCGGTCGTGATACTCTCTGCAATCTGCAATCTGTCACCCAGTCCCAGAATTCCACAACAATCCTAGTTTACATTCCACACAGCAAACCAGGGTAGGCTCTCTGGCAGGGGTGTCAAATATAAGGCCCATCCAAGGCTTCTGTGCGGCCCGCGAGCAACTAATGCAAGGGATGGGACAGGAGACTGAGCGGGGGAGTGGGGGAGCCACTCCAATTGTGGCTTCAGCAATGGCAGCACAACCTTGTCTGTGGAAGTCAAGCAGCGTGGGAGCGCCTGCCCAGTGCTGCGCCACTGGCTCCCCAGTCTGCCCATATGGATTTTCCTTTGCATCCCCCCCCTCCCAGCCCCATGGGGCCTTGCACTGAAAGTACACCAACTCAGATCTTACCAGCTGTTGTCCTTTATACAGTTCATATCTCTGGCACCTGGCATTACGTTTTATGGCTCACATGCCCCGGCCCGACAAAGCGACGTTTATGTCAGATCCGGCACTCGTAACAAATGAGTTCGACACCTCTGCTCTATGGCATTTCACCCCACTGAGGTCCCACCCCTCCTAGGGTTGCCAGGTCTTACCTGGCTGCCAGCGGGGCCTCCTTTTTCTTGTGCAGGAGGTCTTCTTGTGCAGGAGATCCAGCCAGTGGGGGGAACCCCACCCCCAAAGTGCTACGTTCGGGCCAACATGCCCAGTGCAACGACGTCACCCAGAAGTGACGTCATAAGAACATAAGAACATAAGAGATGCCAATGTTGGATCAGGCCAAAGGCCCATCCAGTCCAACACTCTGTATCACACAGTGGCCAGAAATACCAGTGCCATCAGGAGGTCCACCAGTGGGGCCAGGACATTAGAAGCCCTCCCACTGTTGACCCCGCAAGCACCAAGAAGACAGAGCATCACTTGCCCCAGAGTCCCTATCTATACCTTGTGGCTAATAGCCACTGATGGGCCTCTGCTCCATATGCTGATCTAATTCCCTTTTGAAGCCGTCCATGCTTGTCGCCGCCGCCACCTCCTGCAGCAGTGAATTCCAAGTGTTAATCACTCTTTGTCATCATGCCAGGCATGTTGTGGGCAAAGCCTCCATCAATCGAGGAGAAACCATAGAGTTTTTCCTCGAACGATAGAGTGTCCTCCTGCAACGTGCCCGGCACGATGACGTCACCTCTGGGTACCGGGCGTGTTAGCTCAAATGCAACACTTTGGGGGTAGGGTTCCCCCACCGGCTGGATCCGGGCTGGTGGACTGGGGGCCCTAAGAGCAGGGAAAATCCTGCCCCCGTGGGGGAATGGCAAGCCCAACCCCTCCACAGGCTCCACCCACAGGCTCCAAGAGTTCCCCAACCTAGAGTTGACAGCCCTAGGGAACCCTAGGATCCTACAAAGAAAATCCAAATATATTTTCAGTGCCTGCACAACAGTCCTTCAACTTACTGCTTAGTTGGTCAGGATCTGTAGTAAAGACCCTGCTTGCTGACATCCTTTGGGTGAGATCGGGATCTTGATCCACGACGGTGAACGTCACTTGCCTGTTCCCTGCCGGCCACTCGAGAGCCCCGTCGTTCTGGCTGCTGCACAGAGCAAAATGGATACCCAAGTAGTTTCCACTGGAGCTGGCCACACCGTGGGGGTATAGTCTCAGCACAAAACAGTAACCTTCTGAGTTGTAGAACAACGGGCTGGAAATATAGTCGCCTTGGGAGGTGCTGCCTGAAAGGGCAGTGAAGTTTGTGATCTGCCAGACCCCCGTGGGGCACTGGGTCTCGGTCAGACTGACGTCGTCGATGTTGATCCCGCCGGTAGAGTTGCCGGGGTCTTCTCTGATGCCGTGGAAGGCGTAGCGGAACTTGGTCTGGCTGTTGAAGGGAATGGTCGCTAACTTCCAGTGCTGTTCTTCATCAGCTGTGAAAGGAGAGTGAAAATTTTAATGACAAAGATCATGAATAGCTTCAGGGGCGCTTACAGGTCTTTATTTGGCTTCACTGGAGCAGCCCTGGGAGATACTCAGGCTATGGTTGCAATCCCGTGCACACGTACTTGAGAGCAATGCTCTCTCTAAGCTGTGGAGTCTTGTGAGCAAAAATTCTACTTTGTGAGCTGCTGGCATTAGAGTTGTGAGCCAGTGATTTGGCTACTGCATAAATTAATTTGCTCCAGAGCCATCCCTTCCTGAGCTAAAGCAAAAAAATGTGTGAGCCGGAGGCTAAAAAACCTGTGAGCTGGCTCACATTAACTCAGCTTAGAGGTAACACTGATTCAAACTAAAAGGGGCCATAGTACATCCTCCTGCCCGGTTCATATCTCCCTCCATAACCTCAGAATAGCCTGACAAAGGGAGATTTGACTTTTGCAAGCTCATACCCGCACTGGTGTGAGCTACCAGCCGTGTCCCCAGCTCGCCGTCCACCCAGCGGTTCGAAAGCTTCGGCGAGTAAATAAAATGGGTACCACTCCTTAGAGAGGGTGGGCACACTTAACCCCCCGGTGGGAAAGTATTAGCAGACAAACGGAAGGTCCGCGCATAAGCTCAAAAGCGGAGAGAGATCTACACAGCTTCAAAGAAAAGCCTGCATTGGGCCATTCCGGCCAGATGGTGGCAGTGGTGTGCTGCGACCGAAAAAATGCTGACGACATCAAGCAACGCCGACTAAAGAACGCTGCCGGGACACGTCTGATGCTTATAGCTGACCAAGCTCCCTGTCGACTGCGAAGTGTGTGTGATTAAAAATGATATATGTTGTCCTCCCTTACCCCCATCATTGTTAGCCCCGTGTCTACACATGAGTAACTGTAAATCGCTCAGAGCCGGCAGCTCTGCAAGGATTGAGCGATCAATAAATTGAAAGATTATTATTATTCATTATTATTATACCCCGAAAATCCAGTTGATCTTGAAGTTGCTGCTGAACTTGAATTTAGGTTTTTTACCGCAGACCAACACGGCTACCCTCTGAAACAACTCAGGATGAATCTCAGGGTCAAAGGCTACATCCGCACATGAGCCATACAGGAAAATCCAGTTGTAAACGATGTTGTAGCAGAAGGATAGTGGCGTTTTCCAACCCCGTGCAAAGTTAGACATCCAGTGTTCCCAGTGATGCGCACACCAGGTTCTAAGGCTCACCGTAAAATGTTTGCAGCTTCACCATTTTCCTAACGTTTCCGGTCCCGTCGTCTTTTTTAATCCAGATGATGAGTTTATCTTGCTGACTTCCATCAAACTTGTAAAAGAACTGCAGGCACTTTGCCGCTCTTTTCGGGTAGAGGAAGCGGGACTCCAAAACAGCTGATTGTCCCGGGCTTCCTTCCGTGGTGTTCAGGTGCATGAAATATCCCCTACCTACAAAGGAAACGCAGGAAGGTGGCGCAACAGTCTGGATCTCTTACAGACGTTAAGACAGCAACGCAGGAGTCAGGTGTGCTAAACAAGTATCGCTACGACACGAAATTTCATTGCCCACGCTTCTCCAAAGCGGCACAAATAAGAGAAGCCCAAGCAATCTTTTAAAGTTACAAATGATAACTATGGAGAGCAGTTTAACAGTGACAATGAAATAGGGTTGCTGGCTTTGGGTTGGGAAATACCTGAGATTTGGGGGGTGGGGCCTGAGGAGGGCGGGGTTTGGGGAGGGACCTCGATGGGATCTAGTGACCCAGAGTCCACCTTCCAAAGCAGCCATTTTCTCCAGGTGAATTGATCTCTGTCACCTGGAGATCAGTGGTGATCCCAGGAGATCTCCAGCCACCCCCTGGAGGCTGGCAACGCTACAATGATCCAGGAAAACTTCTCAGGTTCGCAGAGATGGGCTGAAGATTTTTAAGACAAAAATCTGTGGGGCTGAAGAAGGGCAAAACACTAAACGTGACATCAGTGTGTGCACGACATCGTAGGAGAAAATGAGGCGTCAAGGTGGCCTATTGGATTGCTGTAGCAACTCAAGCAGGAGGCCAGAA